TTTCTTCTCCTCATGTTTTTGAAACTTCTATGTGTCTTTCAATATCTATTATTCATCTCTTTCCGATATAGTCACTTTTATCAAGGTGGACTACTCGTGGTCCTTTATCAGGTTTGTGATTATCATCAGTCTTTCGTCATTTATCAGTTTCTTTAGTTTTTCTCTGTGCTCCTTTATCAAGAAACTTTTACTATCTATCGTATTTGATGTTTTTGTACTGATAACTGCAACAACCCACTAGACTGGATTTGAAACGTTCTACTTTCAAAGTGTACAATAGAACTAGTTTCTTTGTCTGACCAATTAGGTTTTCAAATTATCAGTATGCAATTGGTTGACTCGTTTCTGTCTGTTCCGTAACCATATTCCTTTGAAAATTTTAATGGGCATATCAGAATAGTTTTTTCAAGTATTAGTTTTGTAGGGATGCTTTTCGTCTGATTAGTGTTGGAGGATTTGATCGTCAACTCATGCCGAAATCCTCCATGGAATCCAACAAAAAAATCCCTACAAAACCGGTACTTGAAAATCAATCTGATGCTCACTAGCGACTTGCCCTATTTAGGCAGTGACCTGGCTTTCTGGTGGGAAACCGTGACCAGTAGGGTACAAAACAGGTGGTTGAAGGTGAGGTAGTAACTCATCGAAAATCACATCGCGAATCGGTCTCGCTTTATCATAAAATTGGCAGAAGTTGGAATTCATGGGCTGGTCATTGGATCGGGTTTCAGTGTTTTAATTGTCTATGAACTTGGTGGCCTTGTAACCAAAAAGGTCATGGGTTCGGACCCCTTCGGGATAGGTGCGTACTGATGAAGAGTCCCAAGCTAGGACGAAATAGATGGTCTGCCAATACTCCCTGCTAGTTTCCCAGCGGTTCTAACTGATGTCATTTCATTATGAAATCCTCCAAACAACATATTTTTTTTCTATAGTTTTGGTTTGTAAGGATTAGTTATGTTTTACGAGTTGATCACGGATTGATATCAGTTAGAGAACCATTGAAAACCAGGGAGTACTAGACAGCTGCTGTTTCATCCTAGTTTGGGAATCATCGGAAGTACGCACCCACCCCACTGGGGTTCGAACCCAGGACCTTCCGGTTACAAGGCAAGCTCGTATACCATTCAGCCACTGGGACCCGATTCAATGGCCAGTGCATGAATTCTAACTTCTACCAATTCGTGATTTAGAGCGACCCCAACCATTGTCGTTGGTGGGACATCCATCCACACACGTGACATCTAATTGGACCTCACTGGTCACGACTTCTCACTAGAACTCAGGAAACTCCAACCTGTAGCAAGTCACTAGAGAGCATCAGATTAACTTTCTATAGTTTTGGTTTGTAAGGATTAGTTATGTTTTACGAGTTGATCACGGATTGTAACCGGGAGGTCCTGGGTTCGAATCCCAGTGGGTGCGTACTGCCGATGATTCCCAAACTAGGATGAAACAGCAGCTTTCCAGTACTCCCTGGTTTTCAATGGTTCTCTAACTGATATCAATCCGTGATCAACTCGTAAAACATATTTTTTGTCAAATATAATTTTTTCTAAAAACAAACTACTCTCGTATAAGAAAATGGAATGCACTAGCTAACTAAATACTGACGAATATAACTTATCACTAAATAATAATGATTTACTTTATTCCAAAAACAGTATTTATAATACAGAATGGAATTCTCAGCATTTGTCACAACACCTTGCATCTGATTTACTTAGAATATAAATAAAATTAAAAAATTAAAACAAAATTAACCAGAGGAATTTGTCCACGTTTACGATAGTAAGTCGAAATTATTCGAAGCACGAATTGAGATTATTCAATATAATAATAATAACAACAGTGAGTTTGTTTCAAACAGTATTATCGATTCAGTTTGGGAATTTTAGCATGTTACTATAGATTATTGAATGTAAAGTTCTGTTGATATAGCAGCATGGTGAGGAGAAATACAGAATTAACAGTTATAACACAGCTTAAATTATGTTCACACTTGTGAAAAATAAATAAACAAATAAAAAAACTGAGAGGATTATAAGAATATAAGAAATACAATAACAATAAAGGTCGATGTTGTAGGCGTGGAGGAAATGGTTTATTTAGTAGTGCGAAGAAGGTTAGTTAGTTCATGACTGACACTATTTTCATCACATAAAGTACGTGCCGCTAAATTTGATACGGTGGAATTTTTATTCTTAGACGTACATGCATGAAGTCTTCTGAAAAGACTTCTTGTTTTACCTGAGGAGGAGACACAAGGTTGGAGCTGCGGCTAGGGTCGTTGCTCACAGTCTGACAAAAAATACCTTCAGCAAATTTGTTGCATGACATCAAGTGTCTATCATCAATGACGATGTCAGCGATATGGCCCAATTGGATAGCTGCCACTCGCCCTACTGACTGTCAATCTCCAGAGTTCTACGAAGTATGACATAGTCTTTTTTAAGCAATCCAGGAAAGAATAAGGGTGAACAGTAAAGAAGAGTAAGTAAGATGCACGAGTTGACAAACTGTAAGAGGAGGGGTGGCTGGGTACCCCAACTTCTTAATGTAAAATCTCAGACGAAATATTCTTTTAGAAATCGCTAAGACATGGGAAGACCAGGATAGATCAGTTGAAAGGATTATTCCAAGATACTTAACGTCAGACTTGATTCCTATATCCTCACAGTCATCAGTTTTGCAAATGTCATAGGAACCAACAGCCTCATCATTTAACTTCCTTTTACATTGAAAACTGAAATTTAACAGTCTGACATTTGGAATGATTTAATTGAAGGCCATTTGCTGACTGCTGATAGAAAGCTGTTCATCTTAGTACAGTCTAGCTGGAAGTTGACAGACATTGAAATAGTTAGATGGTCCGTATCGGAGTGAGACAAGTAAGTCATGCAAGAAGAAAGAACCTGGAAAAGGAGAAAGAACAGCGCCTTGAGGGACTGATAGTCTTCAGAGTTCTACGAGGTATGACATAGTCTTTTTTTTAAGCAATCACCTATAAAGTACACTCTCATATACTTACTGTATGAGTGTGTGTGTGTAACACATGATGACTCATAGAAACAAACTAGTGTTTTCTCATAATCATGACTAATATGTTCGTCATTTTAATGATTGAAGGTTGTTTGTTTATTTTTGGTTTCTTTTAAAACGCTTTGTGAGCGAAGTACAGAAAGAATAACTGGACTGCAATTGTGTGGTGTGCGTGTGTGTGTGTGTGTAAGTTGAAAAAAGCACACTCTTGTTTTATTATGATGTGTACGGTATTGTATTGCTCAAACACTTTTATAGTAATACTTTTTTTCAGATAATGGAAAACACCCAATAGGACGCTGGAAAAAAAAAGAGAACACGAAGTTCAACAACACAGATATCTTTTCGGCAATTTCATTTTCAAAAGTAGCCGTACAATCGCACTTAAATATATCTGTCTGTTTTCGACATAGAACTTTGCAACGATGTGCGACAGTTCGAGTCGCCACACTCCCTAAATGTAGCACACAAATCAAGAGAAGAAAGTAGAAGAAATACATAATAGAGACAGTAAGTAGGGGTGTGAGACAAAGAAATAGTAATAACAAAGAACAATTTAGTTTCATTGGAAATCATAAGTCAAAAGGAGTGGATGCATCTGCGTTGTCATTGAGAACGATTTTGAGTCATGTCACCAATTGTTTCCGACCATTGGTTTTTACCGTCCCGAGGACCCCAACTAGTCAGGAAGTCTACACCTTCCTATGTGGCTTAGACCAACTGTTGTAGATTTCATTGACTGGTGCCATATTTTTGTTTGACCTCCGCTAGCTTTTTTCCAGCCTGACCCTATATCCGCTAACATTACCCATCAGTCGAGGAAGGCGATGACTGTGCATACGTAACACATGTTCTAACCATCTCGGTCTATGTAACTTCACAACCTCGTCGATTGACTTCCCCTGCTTACCTAGGACTCGACGCCTAACCTCAATATTGCTCACCCTATTATACCACTTCACACGGGAGATAGAACGCAGGCATCTATGATCAAAGACAGCCAGCTGGTCTTTTCATGTCGTCCGCTCTCAGTGGCCAGGTCTCACAGCCATAAAGGAGGACGGAGCGGACTGGATGCTGAGCATTACACACGCCCTTTAGTCGATAGGCAGCCGGATACGACGTCTACGCCAGAGTCGGCGTAAACTGGCATATGCGAAACTAGCCCTCCGTATCTTTCCGTACTGAGATTTCGTCAGAGATCAACCCGTTGGCACTGGCTGATGGTACTTCCCAAATAAGTGAAGCGAACAACGTGCTCTACCACTCCACTCCCTATTTCTAATCTAGGAGTCGGTGTAGTCCAGTCCTTTAACATCATCTTGCATTTGGCGGGAGCGAATCGCATGCAAAACATTCGTAGATTGCAGCTCAAGGTGTTCAGAAGACTCTGCATTTTGTCAGCGTCCTCGCCTAGAAGGACTATATCGTCTGCATATTCTAAGTCAACGAGGTTATTCCTTGGTAACAAGTCAATCCCTGAGTCTCTGAAGTGAGTTAGAGTTAAATCCATTAGTACATCTATGATGAAGTTAAATAGAAATGGGGATAATGGGCATCCTTGACGGACACCAGTAGTTGTCACCAGTTCAGATGACAACTCGTTGTAAGCCCTCACCTGGCTGACTTCATGAGTTCGAGTAGAGTGAGTGTCTTGATCAGTGTAATGTATTTTGTCTTCATTCGCTTTACAGCCAAGCATCGCCAGAGAACCTCTCGGTCGACAGAATCGAGTTCCGCCTTTAGGTCAAGAAATATAAATGAAATCACCGAAAAGGCGGATATCTGAGTTGCTGAACTTCGTGTTCTCTTCTTTCTGATATTTTTCATCATCTTCTTCTTCTCAGAATTGTCATGTATATCATCATTATTATTTATCTTTGACCTGAAATATGATTTATTCATTTACTCTTTATTGATTTATTTATTCTTTTTTTGATGAATTCATTTATCTATAGGCTTATTTGCATAAACATGAAGTGATTCATCGTGACCTGACTACGCATAATTGTTTTGTACGACAAGTAAGTAATTGAGTACTTCAGTAATTGGAGGATACTTTGGTGTAGAAGGTGTGGTGCTATCTGGGCCTTTTTTCTTTCTCCTTAACTTCCAGTTATGCAATATGAGATAACTGTTGTTTTAAAAACGACTTATAATATTTCATATTTAAATGTCAAGTTCCTAGAGGAACATAGGGCTTCAGCCGAACGTCTCTAGTGCGTTTGGTTCTATGCCAACGTTTTCATCAGCTGGCTCCACGTCTGCCCATATGCTTACATCTCCTCTTCACACGACCTCCTCCTCGATGTCACCCTCCCACTTATGACCAACTAACTCGCCGCTTCCCATTCAGTCGGATTCCATTGAAGCGATGGCCTGTCGTGTGATGTCACTCGGTGGTTTGTTTCCTCAGAGTATGGCCAATCCACCTCCATTTCTTCCTGCATATTTGTTGTACAGTTGGTTGGTTCGCTGATCGCCAGAGATCCCTCCCTGTTGTTGATCTTTTCTGACCAGCCATCTGATCTTGATCAAAGTTCTGAGCGAAGACAGCTGTTGATGAAGGTCTGTAGTTTGTTTGAGGTGCTTTTTATGATACGCCAAGACTCTGGAGTTGAAAATCCGGATCTTATTTTCATTTTCATGCTGAGTGCTCATGACCTCCACACAGACTAGAGAGAAATGAGAGCTTTCCTTGCTTTCCCGATCTTTGCTGCTGTGATATCGTCAGTTCCTTCCACCTGTAGTTGAAACTATGCTTCCCATGATATATAGAATGTCATATGTAACAACAGAAGACAAGGGCAAGGCAACAGATCGTTTGTTAAGGAAATCAACACGTATTTATATATATATTCATGTACATTATTATTATGGATTATTCAAGCAAACGAACACAGTCTTCTGATTGGTTGTTTCTCACAGAAAGTTGACCTTGCATCTTTTTGTGACTGTTTCTTGAATGTCAGGTCATCTATATGTTAACTGTATCCGCCTACGCAAAGTCTGCTGTGTTGAATCAGTCTCGTTCATATTTTCTCACCACCAATATTTGCGACATAAACTTTGACGTAAATAATTGCCTACCGATTTGGCTGGCAGCCTGCTCTCACCACAATATATAGAATTTTTCATAGGATGTTTGTATAGGTGTTGGAAACGGGGTAGGGGATCATTTAAAGCATTATTTATTATTATTATTATTCCCTTGCATCCCGAGTGGAACATAGGGCTGGCTTCAACAACACATCCCGACTTTGTTCTGTTTTCTGCCCCCCTCTTCAGCTGGGTCGACGATTGACCAAACTCTCTCATCTCCTTCTCACATGATTTCCTCTATGTCACCCTAGGACGACCTACTTGTCGCTTCCCACTGGGATTCCACTCGAGCAATGACCTGGCGTGCGATTTCATTCGGCGTCCTCCTCAATGTGTGCCCGATAAATCCATGTTCACTTTCTCGTACATATTTGTTGAGAGATCGGCTCTTGCTTGTTGGTTTGTTCCCAGCCAGTCAGAGTTTCTTGTTGCTTATTCATTCTGGCCTACCGTTTGATCTTCAGTATGAAGTCAGCCAGTGAAGTGGGCAGCTGTTGATGGAAATCTGCGACCTGTTGGAAATCCTCTTCGTTACACGTAGTGAGAGTTTCTGATCCGTATAGAAGCACTAACTGACTGACTTTACATTGGTGTTGAAAACCGAAATCTTGTTTCTTATGCTGAGGCAGAGAGTGTAGACGATTTCCAAACTGGTTTCAGGTTGATGAAGGCTTGCGTATCTTGCCTTTCCGATTCTGACTAGCTTTAACGTCTTCCTCCATTCGGCTGGCCTGTATTTGAAACGATGCTTTCTAGAGAAGTGAAGGAGGCAACCTCTGTTAAAGCTATCCCGTTGATGGTGATTGGTGCAGGTTGTTGTTGTTGTTGCTGCTGATTGGTTATCTGCATCACCTCCCTCTTCTCTGTGTTCACCTGCAGTCCTGTTTTTGCTACCAGTCTCTTTAGCCAGTTTGTTGATTTCCGTTTGCAAGTCTTCGAGTTTGTGTGACATCAGACATATATCATCTGTGAAATCCAGATCTTCTACAGTCTTATAATCGGTTGTCCAGCGTATTCCTGACTCCTCGCTCCCCAAAATCTGACGCATAATTAAGTCTACCAAAATTCAGAATATCATTGGTGATAATAGACAGCCAGCTTGTCTTACTCCTGTATTGAATTCGAATACCTCTCCGAGTTTCCCGTTGTGGATCACCCAACACGTGCCATTGTCATATAGCCAGCTGTTGAATGAGGTTGATAAAGACTTGGGACACTGCACGTCGTAGTGTTGAAGTAGTCTGTAAATTACTTCTCGGTCAACGTTGTCTGCCGAAGGCCTTTTTCGAAGTCGATGAAGTTGATGTATACAGTTATGGTGGCCATTCTATGCCACGCGGGCGGTCTGGGTTCGATTCCCCGCCGACGCACTTCGCTTTGTACGTCAGTGGCACAGTGGTTAGGACTCTCGTCGACCATGCACATGGTCCGAGGTTCGATCCCCAGCCACCGACGCACACCTGATATCAGTTGGTCGGCCTGCAAAATTTGGGCTACCGGTATCACATGCTGAAAATTCCATACTTGTACCAAAAATACGGTGCGGAATCAAGGTATAACCAAAAATAAATAAATAAATTGTGTTCTCAAAGCGTCATCAGTATTATAATACTGTATTACTGTGCCAGTATCAGTTAAATATACTCTATGGTGGAACTATACTCTTATATATATGGTTTTAAGAAGTTATATCCGGTGAGGGAATTGAATCTTAGGTGTGAATGCATAAAATATTAATAATAATATGAAGTGCAATTAAAACTAAAATGTTTGTGATTATAATCGTAGTTAAGTGTCAAGTGGCAAAAAAATTAATGTCTTGCATAGAATAATTCATAGGAGGGATAGAACTTGAAAAAGGATGTGCAATTATAGGATTAGTAGACAAATCGAATAAAATAAAATGAAAACGTTACGTAATATTGTGTGAAATTCAATAGCATAGAATTTAACGTTGTAAAAAAGAGTTGGTTTAGAATGACAAGTGGAACATGTGAAATAATACCGGGGACAGTTCAAAGTGGGAGTAGTAATAGTAACAATTGACGTAATAAGAAAGAGAATACAAATTGAATAGACAAAATAAAAATGAAAAGTTGGTAGAGTCAAAATATGATTACCCTACTTTATTATTATTATTATTGTATCCTTTAGTTCCTAGAGGAACATAGGGCTTCAGCTGCGCACCTCCATTGACTTCGGTTTTCTGACAACTTTTTCACCCTGCTCCAGGTCTGTCCACATGCTTTCATCTCCTCCTCGCATGACCTCCTCCAAGTCACCCTTGGACGACCAACTCGCCGCCTCCCTTTCGGGTTCCACTCGAGGGCTTGTCTAGTGATGTCACTTGATGGTTTCCTCAGCGTATGGCCAATCCATCTCCATTTCTTTCTGCCTATTTGTTTCACAATCGGTTCCTGATTGGTTCGCTCCCAGAGATCCCTGTTGCTGATCTTTTCTGGCCATCTGATCTTGAGTATTGAGCGGAGACAGTTGTTAATGAAGGTTTGAAGTTTGTTTGAGATGCTCTTTATGACTCGCCAAGTCTCTGATCCGTATAGTAGCACTGACTTCACATTGGAGTTGAAAATCCGGATCTTATTTTTGATGCTGATGCTGTTGACCTCCACACAGATTTGAGAGTAATGAAAGCTTGTCTTGCTTTTCCGATTCTGGCTTTGATGTCCTCGTCAGTTCCGCCTGTAGTTGAGACGATGCTTCCCAGGTAGGTGAAGGAGGTTGTTTCTTTCAGGTTCTTCCCATTTATGCTTATTGTGGTCTTGTTGTTGTTGTTGATGTTGGCTAGGAATCTTCATCATCTCTGTTTTATCTATGTTCACGTGAAGTCCTATCTTTGATGCTTCTTCTGCCAACTTGTTACTTTTCACTTGCATATCTTCCAGTTTATGGGAAATCAGACATATATCATCGGCGAAATCCAGATCCTCCAAGTCTTTTGTGTCAGTCCATTTTATGCCTGTTCCCTCGTTGGTTGCCGTTGTCTGTCGCATTATCCAATCAATTGCAATCAGGAAGATCATTGGTGATAGTAGACAGCCTTGCCTCACTCCCGTCCTCACTTCGAAGGCTTCCGTAAGTTTCCCGTTGTGGATTACTTGGCATGCAGCATTGTCGTATAACTGTTGGATGAGGTGTATAATTGTCGATGGGACCCCGTAGTAGCGAAGTAGTTTCCAAATGACCTCTCGATCGACGCTGTCGAAGGCCTTTTCAAAGTCGATGAAGTTGAGATAGAGAGGTGACTGCCATTCCAAGCTTTGTTCAATGATGATCCGTAGAGTGGCGATTTGATCAATACATGATTTGTTTCTCCTGAATCCAGCCTGTTCCGGACGAAGTTTTTCATCTAGGGCTTGTTTGATTCTCTCCAGGATGATGCGACTTAGTATCTTGCTTGGAATGGACAGAAGCATAATTCCACGCCAGTTTTTACATTGACTTAAGTCTCCTTTCTTTGGAAGTTTGAATAAGTAACTGTTCTTCCAATCCTCGGGTACTTTGCCCTCTTTCCACACCTTCTCCAGTAGTGGTGTCATCAAGTCCGCTGTTGTCTCTGGGTCTATTTTCAAAGCCTCTGCTGGGATTCCATCTGGTCCCGGTGTTTTCCCAGCTTTAAGCATCTTGATTGCATTCAGGACTTCTGATTTCGTCGGGGGGTCAGTGTTCACTGGTAGTTCTGCTTCCGTTGTTGGTATTGCTGGACGTGTTGTAGGTGGCGGACGATTTAGAAGTCTTTTGAAGTGTTCAACCCAGTGCTTTCTCTGTTCCACCTCTTTGGTGATTGACTTTCCATTGTCGTCCTTTATTGGCTTAATCTGTGTCGAACGTTTGCCCGAAAGGTTCCTAGTTGTTTGGTAGAGTGTGGCGAGGTCTCCTTTGCCTGCAGCTTGTTCTGCTTCGT